TGATTTAACACGTTTCAAGGGCTTGGTGGGGAGGCGCAGCGCAAACACAGCAGACGGGCCTGCTGTGTGGGTGTGTTGCCTTCTTAACAATCAGGGTTCTGTGTTGTGATCATGGATATTTGGAGTTCGGCGTCGGAGTGTGTCCAAGGGCTCCGGCAAGGCTCTGGGAAAAGAGCCTGATCACTATCGGAGAAGCTCACATTGATTTATGCTTGCTTTCGTGCTTGCAGTCTGTCTGCCCCACCTAGACTGTGAACTCTGGGAACGAGGGGAATCTGTCTGCCTTGTTCGTTTTTCATTTCCCAGTGTCCACAGCTGTACCTGGCACATTCTAGGTGCTCAGTGAATATGAGTTACATGAAAGAAAGGACTCCAAGCAAGGGCTCTGCAGCCAGATTGTTCAAGGGTGACCTTGGACAACTTTCTTAATAATATTCGGCTTCAGTTCCTGCATCCCTAAATGAGGAATGGTGATACAGTGATTTTCTAGCCTTCTTGTCAGGACATCTAAAGCAACTGAAGCAGGGCGCCTGTTTCCACATCTGGCATTCTGGGCTTCAGACAGATGTTTGCTGTGGATCGACTAGCTTAAAGCTAGTAGAACCTCAGCTTTAAGATCTGCAGTGGCAGAAGTGCTTTTGGAGGTTTCTGCTTCTTCCTTGTCTCACTCTGAAGATACAGCATGTGTGGGCTCTAGAGAGATAGCAGGCAGTAGTGGTATCAGAGGAAAGGAGAGCCTTTTAAGAATACACCCAGAGGGGAGCCTGAAATGAGCCAGTTGAACCAAATGCCTTTAACTCACAGTATCAGTGTCATCTGGGATACCAGGAGGGAGATGTCAGTGCAGCAGTTACTTCTGGAGTCTGGAGAAGAGCACTTAGGAGGGTCATGTGCTTGGTGTCATCAAAATCTCCCTTATCTTGACCACCTGCCCTCCTTATTCTGCCACCTCATAGGAAGGTCGCGGAACTCCAGCAAGTATCTCCACGCATTCCGGTACCTACAAGCTCTCCATCTTTCCGGGCTATTTTTCTTCAGTCTCTGTGCTGGTAACTCTCCATCACGCCTGGCATGCCCCCCTCTCCTGCCAGGTCCCATTTCTTCCCTTCCCAGTACTGCTCTGCCCCCAAGGAGGCTAACCCCACCCTTGCCCTTTGGTTACCAGTTGGGTTCTGCCAATGGGACGTGTTGGCAAGAGATTAGAGGGTGGGAGAAAAGGTAGATGAGGATTTTTCTCCCCCACTGAGTGTCCGCTTTGGCACCACGGTCTGGTGATGGCTCTATTCTTCCACCACTACAGCTCCAGCCTGATGGTTCCTGCTTCAGGGCTCCATTTCTGGAGGCGCTATTTCTTCCTGTTGCCCCTTCAGATCAGGGGATGTCAGTGGCTTTCGGCTGCTTCAGCTTTTGGTGCCATGCCACTCCTCATGGTCCCATTTATTGTGCCTGGACCTCTACAAACAGCCTTATCCTTAAGTCTCTTATTTGAACTATCTGATGGAATTCTGTGGTTGCTAGGTCACTGATGAATGAACCCTACGTGGTGCCTATCTCAAAGAAACCTCAAGGGACAGCCCTTTTCTCTCTCCTTCTCTTCACAGCAAGCTTACTATGCCCTTCTTGATTGCACTGTATCCTTGCGCTCCACCCTGTCAGAAATCTCACCCACTTCCAGTGCACTCAGCTACCCCCACAGATTGATGATCATCAAGTTCATTCATTTGTTCAACAAATATTTACTGAGCACCTACTACGTGTCAAGCACTGCTCTAGGCGTGGAATGTACCGGTGAACAAAACACTCAAAGATTCATGCCCTTATTAGATGATGTTTTTCTAGGATCAAATCTGTACTATCAGCTCTTCGCCTGACCTCCAGAATTCTAATTCTAGTTTCCCAACGAATGTCCCACACGCCTTACAAGCTCATCACATCTGAACCCAAATTCATTATGACTCTTAAGGTATGACATCACCGCCCCTGCCGCCCGTTCTACCCAAGTTAGTCACCTTGCCCTTTTCCCTCATTTCCAATAGATTCTTTAAATTCGGCTTCAGATTTCTCTCCCAAATGTCTGTCTTGCTTTTCATTTCTAATTCTCTGTCCACAGTTAAGGATCTTACCATCTCTCACTTGGACCACTGCAATAACCTCTTACCTGGTCTGTCTGTCTCTTTTTTCCTCTTTCATCTTTCCTATCACCACTGCCAAAGTTCATCTCTACAGTGCTTCCTTGCTTAAAGAGTTCTGCCAGCTTCCCATTGCCTACCTCTTGGCAAGACAGTTTCCAACGAATACGTACCACCCCACTGCTGCAGGCCTAACACCCATAACACGGACTCCGCTCAGTTCCCTGGACCTGCATGGTCGCCCGGGCCTCCCCACCTTTGCTCGGAGCCTTTTCCTGCATTGCCATCACCTCCCTTCCCGTCTCCTGTTCCTCAAGCCCCTACAGATGTTTTCCCTGACCCTTCCCAGAGCAATGAATTCCTTTGTCCTTTTTACTCCCGTAGACTTGGCTTTTTCTATTTACCCTGTTGCTCCACAGCTAGTTATATAAGTGCTGTGTCTCCTTCTAGCCTGAGAGCCCTTTGAACCTTCCTGGCTCTTTTGAATCTTTGGTGTTTAGCACAGAGTTTGGCATAGAAGGATGATCAGGGTGTATTTATGTTATACATTAGCCATGTATTTTTCTATAGCTTCCTGGTGTCTCCAGCAAAAGCACTCTCTAAGGCCCTAAATCCTCTTCTTGCCATTAGCTCAGCCCACTGCGGGCAGCTGCTCTTGTGGTTCCTTGTCCACAGAACACATTCTTGCCTCCAGCTTGTGTCTCTAATGTCTATTGTAACAGCTGATTGATCTGATAGCTGAGAGCTGGAGTAGCGTCTAAGATTTAGCGAACTGAAATCATGTTCGGACCTCTGTTTTATTTTTCTATCTGGAGCGGTTGATAAGCTAAGCAGCTTTGTGAAGACATTGGCCCCAGAGATCAGAAAGCTCAAGCCATCTCAGGGAAGATGCTAACAGGCAGAAGCTAAAACTCAAAACCTCATTTATGTGCAGTCAGAATGTCACCCAAACCCTGGGGCCCCCTTGCTCATCCCCTACCCCAGTCTGCTGGCATTTTTATCCCCCTTCAGATCTAATCTGGGGATGGCCATGGGGAGAGAGGAAGGAGAGAGAGGAATGAATACCCTCTGTGATTAATATCAGCCTGGAGATGGTCTTGCTAATAATATCCTAGCCAGAATCATTACTGAAATCCTTTGCTCTGGTTCCCAAACAGCTTGGGAGTTGGGCCAGACCAGGCCTCTGCTGCTTGGGGTGCCAAATTTTAAAGTGCTGTGAGCTTGGAGGCTGGCTTCAGATGTGGTATTTCTTTCTCTGGGGTGATCAGATCAACTTATTTTTCATGTTCAACCTCAATCCTTTTCCACCTCCCCTCATCCCCCCCAATAAACAACAAACAAAATAAATAAGGATTAATGAGACCCTTGGCACCAAGGGGAAAGTCTTCTCTGGGGCCACCTTTATGGGCTTGACCGATGACCTGAGGTTATCTGTACATCTGTAAAGGGCAAACCCATCAGTGCTCACCTCCAGCATCAAATGGTCACAGTGAAGAGTAGAGATTCGGGGTCCTTGTTTAGGACTGGAGCCCATGGGAAGAGGAGGTGAAGTAGATGCCTTGAAGGGAGGAAAAGAAGGAATGAAGAAGGATGGGGATAGTGAGATTCCCATTCCCTTCAGTCAGTAAAAAACTTGAAACCGGTTTTGATTTTCTGAAACTAAATTTGGTACCACATGGTGAATCTACAGTCGGCACTTCACTGCATTTCAGCACAAAGTAGATTTACAGCCACTGAGAGAGTTTGTCAAATTCCTGACAACCCCCCAAATGGAGCTCACAGCTGCAGCTGCAGAGGTGGTTTCTGACACTGGGGGAAAAAAATCCCCCCAAACCTTTTCATCTCACCAAAGGAGGACTCTGGGGAGATTTCAAAACATATGAGAGGAGAGAGCAATGAAATTACATCCTTGAAACATCACAAGCAGGGACCCATCTGATCCTACGTTCTGCTCTCACTGCGGCTGGATTCCCTGGGATGAGGCGGGGTAATGAACACGTTGTCAGCCATGGTCTCCAGCGCTCTGCAAAATGGATTCTCCTCCGGCATGGAGGAAATTCCAGGAAGAGGTCAAGTGCATAGCCTAGAAATTGTTAAATATGCAGAAGTATCTGCATATTTAACAATCTTAGGGCTATCAGACAACCAGTATGTTTTAATCTATTCCTCACACAAAGGAGATAAAAGGACTGAGAAATAGCTCAATTTCTCCATCTTCTTTCAGGTTACTGTGGAGGATGAATGAAGTTACTATGGTTCTAATATGTGTATTGTTCAATTTGAAGTAAAATTGCATTTTTCATATAAGGCTGCATTAATTTGAACATACACATCCTCCTTTTATCTTCCTTTTGCAAATTTATTTAATAAATGCTGACTTTTAGTTTCAAATATCAATATGCTGTATAAGGTTCATTTTCTTTTAGTAATTGTAATTTGAGTAAATTGCACTAAATGAATATTTGCTTCCCTCTAAAAAACCCATGTTCTTTTATGTTTCTGCTGAATGAGTAGTCTGGGAAATGCCCACTAGATGGCAGTGTCACTACATAGCTGAAGACTATCTAAGCAGGGGATCCAGAAAATAAGGCTAGTTTACGTTTTAGCCCTCCTGGAAAATCCAGAAGGTGGCAGATCTTAGCTATTTATGAAAAGACAAGCACCGAGAACAATGTTGCCTTTTAGAAAAATTATTTTTGTTTATTGTTCCAGGAGGAGATTATGAGCTGAATAAAATTATCTGTGATATTTAAAACATTTGAAAATGTTTCACATTTTTAGAGTATGTAATACAAGCTGAAGGGCTAGCAAAGCAAACAGGGACACAAAATCAAGGTGAAATTGACCAGTAAATTGAGAACTCCATTACAGGAGCAATTTCCCCGAGTGTGAGTCGCAGTGTTTGAGTGATAACCTAAACCTGTCTAAACTTCGTGAAGCATTCAAGGCGAAGATGGAAGGAGATAGCGTGGGAGCTGGTAGAGGAGTGCCAGTGTGGGCACTGGTGTTTGTATTTTTCACCAACTTTTCCTGGCTCCCGGAGGACATCCGGCAGACCTGTGCTTTAGAGTTCAGTTCTTTTCAAGGTTACTGATTACCTGAAGGGATCCTGGTTTTGAAAATGAAAAATGACAGCTTGAATACAATAGTCCAATTTAGAAGGATCGTGTACCCTAGGCAGCTTTGCTGGTTACTGCGGGCATTCGCGGTGAATACAGAGCCACATCCATTTTGTGGAAGACAACACTGACACAGTTTTGATGCCTCACCTGAAACCTTGGGTTAGAGTGTGCTAGCTCATTTGAAGGGAACACTTGTGTCTTAGTCGATTTTGGCCCCAAGCAGTATGGATGGGCTTGTCTTTTCACCTCCTGCAGCAAATACACATTCATGAGACGGTTCTGGGGGGTGGCAGGACAGCAGGACAGCGGGATGGCGGCCGAGAAGTCATCCTTCTGAGTGACAGCTCTGCATGGCTCTTGGCACTCCGACATGTCAGGGAACTGCTGTTCCAACCGGCGTCATTTATCTCATTTAAATATTCCAGAGAGATTAGCCTCCGTACTCAAGTTAGATTCATCTCTGTCTTTGTGCTCTAAAAGGGTCTGGCAGCCTCTCTCAAATGGAGGAGGAAAAAAAAAAAAAAGGGGGAGGAAGAGAGAAAGAAAAAATGTGGTGAGGAAATGAAGCAAGTGAGTGATACATAAGGTGAACACAGAATTCAATATCCAGAATGAGGACACACACGTCTTGGACCCCAGATATACAGCTCTGAACTGATGGAGAAATGGGCAGGAAGAGAGATAATCTTTATCTCTGTTCCCAAACCTTTAGAAATACCAAAGGCTAAACCACCCTGGCAAGAAAGCAGGAAATGAAGACTGCTCCAAGCCACCCATGAGGTTTCAGAGGGCAGGGCACTGGCTGAGCGCACTTTTTCTTCTTTTTTTCTTTTTTTTTCCTGACTCACAGCTTGAGATCAGGGCCAGTTGGTAAATGGAAACCTCAGTGAAGTGTTTGGGTCTAGGCTAAGATTCTGGATTCCAGTTTTATTCAGGAAGAATTGCTGGACTTGAACTTGGATTTACCGTCTGAAATCTTGGCAAGAGGGAAAGCAGGGGGAGGTTCTGGTGTTTGTCACAGCCTAATTTCTTCCTGGGAAAATCACGTTAGAGCGCTCATTTCTTTTTCTAACATTTCAGGTGCCCAATCATGTATGCATGAGTTTATGTACCTACCACACACAATCTTTTGGGTTACTTATTTCTTTTGTGAAGTTAGTCATCACTACAGCAGGTTTTTTAATAGTTTGGTGTTATAATAATAAAGTGATGAGAATGAACTTTGGTGCTCAAGAGAAAGTGGGCCATTCTACAATACATGGTATTCTGGGTTGAGTTATGCATATTCTTCCTTTATGGTATTTGGAACTGCTTCTCCACAAAGAGGCTCTGTGATCGAAGAAGAGAGCCAGGACTCAGAAAGTGCTTTGGTGGCCTCTGACTTGTGAAGTGTGAAGTCCATTATCTGTATTGGTCCATCATAGCCAAACCGATCCATTGGAACTGATGTTCTGTGAGTTTCCTTGAATTGTTTGGAAACTATTTCTGTCCTCCAGGCAGCTGGCTTAGTTAGCCTATGGCAATCACTATTGGTGTGGCTCAAGGAGTTTTATGAGAGCATTTTGGCAAGAACTATTTACTCTACCCAGTGTAAGGAAGTATTAGTTTATAATTACCCATGAGGAAGGATCAAGGGGGCATAGATGTCATTCGTGCAGCTCACCATACATATCCGGTCCTTTTCCCTTTCAGCCTATGGTAGGGTGCCCTCTTCAAGTTGGATGTAGCCATATGATTTGTGTTGGCCAAAGAAACACGAGTGTCATTTTTAGGCTGCAGCTTTAAGAACCTGATCTGAATGGCTACGTTCTGTTCCCCTTACCTGAGTCACTCTGAAGAATTTTCGGAGGTGGAACTTTCATCAGCTTGAGTCCCTAAAGCGGTCACAATGAGAAAGCCCCCCTCCCCAATCATGTGTCTGTTAATTCCAAGGTGGGCATTCAGTAGAAGTAAGAAGTAAATGTGTGTGTAGCAGGCTACTGAGCCTTGGAGATTATTTGTTACCACTGCAAAACCTGGACTCTTCTGACTGATGCCTGGGAATTGCATTCTGATTTGTTTTCCATAGGCTGAGAAAGCAATGATAGACTTCCACTTTACAAGGTTCTACATCATGTGGCCTTTACTATTTTTGTAGAGTTTTTTTCCTCTGCCTTTGAATAGTGAAATTCTTTTGGTGCTTCTGACAGTGAGCACTTTATTGGTCCTTCAAATACATGTTCTCTCTCCCTGGCGCCCTCTGATCCTCCAGCTTCTCCTGCTATCTCCTACCATCATTTAGGTGCTGGCTGAGACGTTGCTTTTACAGGAAAATCTTCCTTGATTTTTTTGTCTGTCCCTCCTTTATGCTCCCAAGCACCTTGTGTTATCTTATCAGTATTTAAACACTGTATTGTAATTGCCTTTTCTGGTATGTCTCTCTATGTGACAATTTCTTGTATCTTTACCATTTGGTTCCAGTGTACAACTAATAATAAATGCCATATTTTAAAAATAACATAAGTGATAGAACCGAGTACTTAATGAATCTGGAATCTGGATTCCTTTCACTTCTGCTCTGCCTTTTCCCCCACTTTGTGCTTCTGTTCTCTAAGTTGGCCAAAATGAGAGAGCACTGATGGGTGAAGTTCAGTGACCGAGATATGCACCAATGATCCACAGCCTGATGGGGTCATACCTTTGACTTTTCACCTGCAGCTCTGCAGTGGGGCCACTGCAAGCTCCTCAGAAGCTGTGCAAGGCCCACCATCCCTCTGGATTACTGCTCCCCCACTGCCCCCAGAACTCTGATCCTCTATCCACCGGAGCCTCCCCTCCATTGTGTTGTTTTTACTGTTGCTGCCTTGGAGTAGGCCACAGGAAGATGGGAGTGGTTAGTACAAGCGACCTGGGGTAGAAATCAAGGCTCAGCTTGGTGAAGCAACTTGCCAACGTCACACAGCTAGTAAGTGACAGAGATGGGACTTCAGTCAAAGGTTCTTGATTCCTCACCCCAGGTTTTCCCCCTTGTGTTCTTTGTCCTGGAGACTAAAACACCTTCAAGTAATTCTATAATTTCAGCATCAAATTAAATTAAGGGAAGGATATTTTGGTTGGGGTTTCTCATCTGGCCTCCTTCGCATCACATGCAGTGAAGGGTCACCTGTTTGGCTTATCCTGAAATCCAGTGCCAGGCATTGCCTAAATCTGGAAGACTGTCCCTGGCTTCAGATGGTTCCTTTTGGCACCCCTTTGGGAGAAGAAGTTTTCCTGGAGATTTGATTTTGGCTGGCACAGAGGCAGCAAAAGGACTTTTAGAAAGAAGCATATGGTCCGCTGGCATTATTATTCTGAGGTGCTGAGATCTCATGAAACAAGGAAAGCACTGAGAGCCAAGGTCATTATGAATATAATTCAGATTTTAAATTGCTATTTGTGGAAAATGTTCCTTCAGCCAGTTGAACCAGGTTAAATCGCTACAGCAATTATATTTACAGGCAATTGCTTGGCCCTGTACTTCCCTCTGCCTGTGCGGACACAGTAAGCTTTTGAGTTAGTAGGCGATAGGGCAGTACATAAAAACGAAATACGTTATGGCCTCATTAAGAGAGACCCTGATTCTTTTACGTCTGCTGTAGCAAGAGCCTTTGGAAAAACAAGAGGAATTTCCGAACATATGATTAATTTAGACTGAGCAATCACCAAAGTGATATAGTTAACAGCACACTTAGTATCACTCATTAGGAGGCAGCCTGTGACTTGGGAAGGAGGCTGTTAGGAACAAGTGCCACCACGCGTCTGCAAGTCAGCCCCAGTGAGTCGTGGAAGCGATCAGGTTCCTGTCTTTGAGGGTTACAGAGGCTGAAAAATCTACCTTTTGGTGGTGCTGGTTTTTATCCTAGCAGAGGATGAAATTGCTAGAGAAATAATGTCATTTCTACAGTTCATGTTTTCTTTAGCTTCAAAAGCTGAGCTGCTGGTGGAGCAGCTCCTCTCTGTGCATATCAGTGGGGGCTGGGTGGATGCCCTCCAGTACCTGAGGTACAGGGTCCTGTGGCTTGAGGAGACCATGGCTGGACCTCCACACCTGAGTGGTCTTGGCTGGGCCTCTTGCCGGGTTTCCGTGGAGGCAATCATTGAAATTAAACCATGAAGAGATTGGTCGTTCCTTAGATATTTCCAAACACGCCTCCGAATACCTGAACTAGAGCCCCATCCAATGTTTAATCAGAGTGACCAGGTGAAACTGACCTGGTTACTATAGGGTCACTGTGAATGGCTCTAACTAATAATGGGCTAGTTGACTGATGGCAGGCTGCCCGAAGAGAAGGCACACAATCATTTCCCTTCACTCTTGTAGTGGCACTGAGAGTAAGGGCAACTCAAGTGGTGGTAGGGACATCGAAGCCTGTTCAGGTGGGAACAGCTGAAAATAGGGTAAGTCCTGAAGCCGAGGGTTTGGGGCAGCTCGGGCAGCAACTGAAGCCATGAGGGGTGGGAGTGAGTCGGCCCTGGGAGAGGACCTTTCATTAGATCTGGGAATGAGGGATGAGCCAGGAGCCGTCTAATGAGAGCGGCTGGATTATCCAAGATCAGCGTCTGATGCCTACAACAATCAGTGGGTCTGAGTTAGTCCATTCATAGAGGCGGGGTCCCGAGATGTGCTGGTTGGAATTGTGAGAGCCAAGTGGGAGGTAGCAGGCCAGAAGGCCTTAACACACGTGGCCAGGCTCCAGCCCCCCTTCCCCCGAGTACAAGGAAACAACACCGGCTTCTGGGGAAGAGGACTTGTGGAGCATGGGGGCCCCTGGGGCCCCAATCATGCCAGGGCTCAGAGCAGGTCTGCACACCTAGGCTCAGAAGTTGATGTGAACTATCTCTGATACAGGGAATGAATGTTGAAGGTCTGTCTTACGGATGGGACCAGAATGGGAGGGGCCGAGAGGACTGTGGAATGGAGTGACGTGGACACCCAGGGCTCCCTGTGGGTCCT